TTGCAGAGTCGCGTAAGCCAACACAACCCTACAACATCCAGAGCHTTGAGGAACTCCGGGCGGATCTCATCCACCCCCGGGGCCCTGCCACGAGGAGCTTTTTAACCACCTCAGTGACCTCGTCCCCAGAGATTGGCGAGCCCAACCCAAAGTCCCCAGGCTCAGCTTCCTCAGCAGAAGGCATGTTGGTGGGATTGAGGAGGTCTTCAAAGTATTCTGCCCACCGGCCCACAACGTCCCGAGTTGAGGTCAGCAGCACACCATCCCCACTATAAACAGTGTTGGTGCTGCACTGCTTCCCCCTCCTGAGACTCCGGATGGTGGACCAGAGTCACCTTGAAGCCGTGCGGAAGTCTTTCTCCATGGCCTCTCCAAACTCCTCCCACGCCTGGGTTTTTGCCACCATTGTTTTAGTATATACTGATTTATTTAGTTTTAAAAAACAAATTATGAAAAAAATTGTAAATGTGATTGCATCATTTTACAGAAACAAAGAAGGGATCAATTTGTGTCCTTTAATGTGGTTTCAACAACCTAAACCTCCAAAATGTTCTCTCACCAGTAGACTAGCATGAAATAAAAAGGTTGGTTGGAAGTGGGTTCACCCAGTTTATTTAGAGAGGACTAGAAAAGGATTATTTGCATGATGCTTAGACTTCTATAAACAACCAAAAGTCATAGAGTTGTCTACATTTCCTGATCACTCCTAACAGTTAGAGGTTTGAATGGTTAGCAGTAGGATGAAGTTTGTAGGAGTTAAGCAGCAAAAGGAGTAATAAACAATAGTTCCTAGTTTTGCTCATCCAAAATGTGCATCTTTGTAGTGAAAAATAAGAAATACTGGTTAAGATGACTCACTAACCACCAGTAGTTTTATAGATGAACTCTCATAAGAGAAAATAAAAAAAAGTTTCTAAAATGTGGAAAATGACTCTGAGAAGGTTTAAAAGTTTAAAGACATTTTATTTTCTACACGTATGAGGGTTTCTGTAACATTGTGCTCGTTACAGAAAGCATGGCAAACCTTCCGGACAAGAACTCCAGCTACAAAGACGTGACCTACTGGGATGAGAGATATTCCAGGGAACAGCAGTACGACTGGCTGGGAGATTTCTCCAAATTCCAGCATCTTCTGGAAAAAGTGATAAAGAAAGAAGATTCAGTTCTCATCCTGGGTTAGTAGTTTGTAACTTTTCCTCCTGATCTTTTAATGATGGGATGTTGCAGGAAGTGACAGGGGTTTAACTTTAAAACCTTGCATCACATAAATACACAGTGTAACATTTTAACAACTCATCCTGGGTAATTTGTGTTCTCGGATCCTGATTGCTGCTCTGAGTTTGGCCGGTACCGCTTCACATGTCGACGCTGTTTTCTCGCCTCTTCTCTTCTGCCGCCTCTCAGCTGTCTGCCGTCAAATACAAGGAGAAATCCATGGCCTCGGAAGTCATCAGGACCGTCTCGAATGATTAGTACGGTTGCACTTACTGTCATTAATAACAAACACTGTCAGAAGGTCTTTCCACTCATTTGCACAAAGTTCGTCTTGATATAGAGGAAGTGACCTGAACGCTTTGATATATTAATACTTGAAGGAATGAAAATCACAGACTTTCACACCAGAGCTTCAGACTGAACTCATTTTAATAAGAGGGGATGGATTTATAGCTTTTTTTGGTTACACTTCCAAAAAAATATCATGCACAATCTCATGTAAAATTGAGAGCTATTGCATGGTTTGTGAGATACACAAAACACTTCCTATACCTGTTCGCTACAAGCAACAAAAAAAGCATTTATGCTTTGTGTAGGTTTTCAATTTAGAACTTTTGTTACTGATTTAAATTGGAAAATGTGAAACCAAACATTTTCAGATTATAAATGTTGAAACAAAGCCATCAGTCTAGGACTGGTTGGTACCTAAAATTCAGTTTAAATAAATTATAATTAAAGTATATATAGAAAATAATAAATATTTAAAAAGACAAAATTGTTTCTGCTCTCCAGTAGAAATGTTTTATTAAAGAAAATTGTTTCTGTCGCATACAAACGATTTTCATGCCCAACCTAAAGTTAAATTTTAAAATAGATATTTATGATATGGTACTTATGGAACATATTTTTGTTGCAACCAGATCTGATCCATATAAAACAGATTTCACTCTGATTTACATCGAGCTGAATTGATTCGTGTCTCATTTAAATCCCATGTTTTGGTGACAGTTCTGCAAGTGTCCACAAGGTGTCGCTGTTGCATTAAAATAAACCTGATTCGTCTAATCTTATGTTCCTTTATGCCCTGTGCTGCTCTGTGAAACACAAACTGTTTAAATTAAAAGTGAACAAAATTTAAAACGGCTATTTCTAAAATATTTACTCAAAAAAGGGATGTTTTTGCTTTTGCTTAGTCGTTTCTAGCTGGATTTATCCATTGCTATCATAAAAAGGAAGTGTTTACCTTGTGAAGCTGTTAAACTGATTTTGTGTATAATAAGTCTTAAAATAGGTTGTTTTTATAAAAATATATTTGTGTGTTTTGAGCATTAAGTCTGCACACAAACACGTGATAAAAACGCAGAAAGAGTTACTTCCTGTTTGGATGCTCAGTATTTTATTGTCTGATGTCAGTGTTGGTTTCTGAGACTGTAGTGACGTGTGTATGTGTGTCAGGGTTGTGACAGAGGGGGGCTCTGTTTGTGAGCTGGTGGGGATGGCACCAGCAGGGCTTGTTTTCCCATCAAAAAAGCCTCTCTGACTTTTGTCACTGCAAGGCCACAGAAACTCCACGAGGTTTGTCCCGTGGTCCCAAACTGTCTTTTGATTCACGTAGACCTCTGTAGAGGTAACCCTGGTGAAAAAAACTTTTCTATTGTTTTTTTTTTTTT